CCCGCCGGTCGGAGCCGCCTGCGTGGGGTCGCGAAAACCCTAAACCCTAAACCCTAAACCCTAAACCCTAAACCCTGCTCCTTTGTTGCTAAACACTAATGGATAAACACTAAAAACTAAAGATTTTACCCCAACACCAATCCCCAGGCCCTAAACCCTAAACCCTAAACCCTAAACGCTAACCATAGAACACTAACGCATAGAGCTAGAGCCAGTTGATAGTTCTAAACCCTAAACCCTAAACCCTAAACCCTAGACCACAAACCCTAGACCCTAAACCATAAACCCTAAACCATTAACCTTCAAAGCACACTTGCCGCTGGTGCGAACGTAAAGCCTTAGTTCGAGTTTGTTAAAACCTATGCTACCTGCGCGTGGGGCCGCACAAACCCTAAACCCTAAACCCTAAACCCTAAGCCGTGTATCTGAAACCCTCAACAAGAACAAAAACAGCAACAATAGCGGCCTGTACATCTCAAAGGGCAAACAAACAAAACAAAGAAAAAGACAGACAACGAAAATACAAACCACAGCAGAAAAACAAAAGAAAAAAACTCTGCATTATTAAGTACAGCCACAGAGACAGAACAGGGCCCTGTCTCTTCTTTTGTTTCCTTTTATCTGTCTCTTTTTATCTGTCTCCTTGTGTCTGTCTCCTCCTATCTGTCTTCTGCTTGTCTCCTTTCATCTCTCTCCTGTCTGTCTCCTTCTGTCTGTCTCCTTCTGTCTGTCTCCTTCTGTCTGTCTCCTTTTGTCTGTCTCCTTTCTTCTCTATTCTTCTCTCCCGCCGCTTCTCCTTCCCTTTTTGTCTCCTCTTCTGTCTCTTTTGTCTCCTTTCTTCTGTCTCTTCTTTCATCTCTTTTTTGTCCCCTTTCTTCTGCCTCTTTTGCCTCCTTTCTTTTGTCTCTTTTGTCTCCTTTCTTCTGTCTCTTCTCTTATCTCTTTTTCTGTCTCTTCTTTTATCGCCTCTCTTCTGCCTCCTTTCTTCTGTCTCGTCTCTTACTCTTTTTCTGTCTCTTCCTTTATCTCCTCTTTTCTGTCTCCTTTATTATGTCTCTTTTGTCTCCTTTCTTCTGTCTCCTTTCCGCTGTCTCCTTTCTTCTGTCTCTTCTTTTATCTATTATCGTGTCTCCTCTTTTATATCCTCTCTTCTGTCTCCTTTCCTCTGTCTCTTTTTCTGTCTGCTTTTAATTTTATTACGGTTAACACATTGTATATTAACTGTTAGAAACAACATGCACAACATATGCAGCATGAGTTTTGTTTTTCTGTCTCTTTTCTCGTCCTTCTTTATTTATATTTTATTTATATTTTATTTATAATTTATTTTATTATTTTTTCTTTTCTTCTTCCCTCCTTTCTGTTGTTTTGTTTCCTTTTGTTTTATACCGTTCGTTCTGTTTTGCTTCTCTTTTAAATATAGCTATCAGTGTAAACACAATAACAAGTGTATTTACAGATAAATAAATAAATATATATATAATTACAAGTATATATATATGCATAGAAATATGGCTAGCTAGCTAGCTGCCTGAGACCGCTAGCTAGCTTTTACAGCTAGCTAACTGAGACGGCTAGCTAGATGATATAGCTAGCTGACTGTGCAGAGCTCATATGATTCTGCTGCCCCCTGCTGCTGCTGTTGCTGTTGCTGCTGCTGCTGTTGCTGTTGCTGCTCTCTCAGGGGGCGACTATTCTCCTTATATTTTATTTATACTTTTTATTTGCTGTAAATGTTTTAAAAGATGAGCAGCAAATGCGTATCTTTAAATTCAGGTGTACGTACACCGCAAGAGACCTCTCCGTCGCTGTAGCTGCATGCACTCTACTTCTAGCATTTTAATTTATTACTTCTATTTAAACATTATTTACTGAGTAAGCACCTAAAAGGCTAAATTCTAAACCCTAAACCCTAAACCCTAAACCCTAAAACCCTATTGGGACCAGTGGAGAGACAGCTGTCTCTCCTTTAACAGACAGCTGTCTCCTGCTGTTTGTATAATAAGCAAGAGATAAGGCAGCAGCAAAGGAGACAGCAGGCGATAAGGCAGCAGCAAAGGAGACAGCAGGCGATAAGGCAGCAGCAAAGGAGACAGCAAGAGGTGCAGCAACAGCAACTTGAATTTAGGAATCGCTTGAGGGACTGGCGAAGTGTTTAGGGTTTAGGGTTTAGGGTTTAGGGTTTAGCGCGCCGCAACCACCACATCATCCCTCAGGTGTACGTACACCTGAACTTGCTGCAGCCACTCACAGGCCCTGAGCAGCAAGGAGAGATAAACCCAGAGGTAGGGGGCCCCCCTAAGTATGCTTAGAAGGGTCGGGGGGCCCTCTGGGGGCCCCTGGGGGCCCCCTCTTTTTGGCGTATGAAGAGATTATAAATAATTGCAAATTAAGTAATTTAAATTATAGAAAAAAATAGGAAATATACATACAGACAAAGGCAGAGGAAGGGGGCCCCCTTGAGCAGCAACAGGAGGGGGGCCCCCCTCATACTTAGCGAGCATGGGGGCCCCCAAGGGTGATGTCTTGTGTTTCTGTTGTTTAAAGTTGAATAAAATAATTTATCTTCTACAAGAAATAATAAGAAGGCCAGGCAGAGTCTGTTTCCTTTAGAGGGAGCTGCCTATACACCTCAGATTCATACGCCGCAACGGGGGTGGTCTTGCATAGAGGGAGGGGCCCCCCGCCCTCTCCTTGACTCCTTCTTATCTAGCTAGCTAGCTAGCTGAATAGCTAGCTAGCTAGCCAAGCTACAGGTGTCGCGTTGGGGGCCCCAGGCCTCCCCTTTCCTGCTGCTTCGCCGCTGCTCTGCTGTGCGTACACCTGAGACCCCCTAAGCATTCCTCTACTTCTTTTAGGGGCTTACTCTTGTAGTTGCTGCTGACCTACTGGGGGGCCCTCTGGGTTTACCTGAAGGGGCCCCTACCCACCCTGCAGGGGCCCCCTGCGTCTCCCGCTTCTTTCTGCTGCTGCTGCAGCTGCAGCAGCTGCAGCAGCAACATGAAAACCGTCGAATTCAGACTCATCTTGCCGCTCACTCCGGAGGTAATTTGATGCTGCTGCTGCTGTACCTGTAGCTGCTGCTGCTGTAGCTGTAGCTGCTGCTGCTGCTGCTGCACCTGTAGCTGCTGCTGGTGCATCTGTAGCTGCTGCTACCGCACCGCACCTGCAGATTCCATGCTGTGCTGCTGCTGCTGGAACAGCGCCTGCTGCTGCAGCAGCTGCAGCAGCAGCTGGAGATGCCGTTGCGCCTGCTGTTGCTACAGCTCCTGCTGCATCTGCATGTGCTGCTGCTGCTGCTGCTGCTGCTGCAGGAGTACCGGCGTTGTCAGATATTTTTAATAGCTCTCGCTGCTTTAGAGACAGCGGAGGCTCAGAAGGAGACAGGGGGCCCCCAGAGGGGCCCCCTAATTCAAATTCTTAAATCGGAAGATTACTGCAACAACGGTGAACAGGGGCAGTATACCCACAAGCGTATTGACATTGCGGAGTCCGCCAAACCCTAAACCCTAAACCCTAAACCCTCAAAGGGAGTTGTAACATTATTACTAAGAACAGGATAAGGGCCTTTGGGGGCGCCATCGCATTCTTTTTGTTTTTTGTTTGTCGTACTGAGCGCTTAGCACTGCGTTTATTTAGGGTTCGAGGCTTAGACGCTAAGTTTTTGAGGGTTTAGGGTTTAGGGTTTAGGGTTGAGGGGTTTGGGGTTAGGGTTTGTTTGCAGTAAACTGCCGGGATGGCTTCTGAAGTTCGTTGACCGCGGGAGTTGCGCCTTTGAAGAAAAGTCGTACGTTTTAGGGTTTAGGGTTTAGGGTTTAGGGTTTAGGGTTTAGAGTCTTAGGGTTTAAGGTTCAGGGTTTAGGCTGTGGAGTTGGAGTGTTTGGGGGGGGAGAGCATTGGGGTCTTCCGCTTAGGGTTTAGGGTTTAGGGTTTGCGTTTACTGGTGTCATGCTGGGTGTGAGGGTTTAGGGTCTAGGGTTTAGGGTTTAGGGTTTAGGGTTTAGAGTTGGTGTATGTGGCGTGTGTTTGTTCAGATGGAATGCCTATCCGCGTCTGCGGACGGAGTACGAGGTAAGGGGGCCGTTGGGTGCTTCTCGTATACTCCTTCTAGGGTTTAGGGTTTAGGGTTTAGGGTTTAGGGTTTTTAGGGTTTAGGGTTTAGGGTTTAGGGTTTGTGGGTGTGTGCCAAGTCGGAGAAGTTTTCGAAGGCGAAGATATCGATTACGAGTAATCATGTATCGGGTGTCTGTACAGAGGACAACGTGGGTTTGATCTGCTGCAGATGCTGCTGCTGCTGCTGCTGCCGCTGCTGCTGTGCTGCTGTTTTTGGCTGGCGCTGGTGTTGCTGCAGCGGCTGCTCTGTTGCTGTTGCTGCTGCTGCTGCTCCTCTGCTGGCATTGTTGCTGCTGCTATTAGTGCTGCTGCTCCTTCTGCTGCTTCTCTGTTGCTGCTGTTGCTGCTAGTAGCAGCAGCAGCTGCTGCTACTGCTGCTGTGTGTGCTGCGCTGCAGGCTACCAATTTGTCTCCTGAGGCCCTGCGTCGGAGGAAGATTGATATAATAGACATAGTCAATGATCCTGGGGTATACCGAAGTGTCTCTCTTTGTCTCCGTTTGTCTCTCTTTGTCTCTCTTTGTCTCTCTTTGTCTCTCTTTGTCTCTCTTTGTCTCTGTCTCTCTTTGTCTCTCTTTGTCTCTGTCTCTCTTTGTCTCTGTCTCTGTTTGTCTCTCTTTGTCTCTGTCTCTGTCTCTCTTCGTCTCCGTCCCTGTCTCTCCTTGTCTCTGTCCCTGTCTCTCTTTGTCTCTGTTAGTCTCTCTTTGTTTGTCTCTCTTTGTCTCTGTTTGTCTCTGTTAGTCTCTCTTTGTCTCTGTTAGTCTCTCTTTGTCTCTTTATCGCTGTCTCTGTCTCTGTCTCTGTCTGTACACTCTACTGTCTCTCCGTCTCTCCCTCTGTCTCTTTCTGTCTCTTTCTCAAGCATTTCGCACTGTCTCTGTTTTTATTGTTTCTGTCCCTCTCTGCTTCTGTCTCTATCTCAGTGTCATTGCATCTTTATCTCTTTATCTGTCTCTATATCTCTATCTTCATATCTGTATATTTGTTTATCTTTTTATCTCTATCTCTGTCTCTCTATTTGTATCTTTATCTATCTATTTATTTTTCTGTCTCTATCTTTATCTTTCTCTGTCTCCTTCTATCTCTCTCACTCTATCAGCAATGTATATATATAAATATATATAGATATATATATATCTATATATATATAGATATATACATATTTGTTTATATATATATATATATACATACATATATATATATATCTATATATATATAGATATATACATATTTGTTTATGTATATATATACATATATATATATATATATATCTGTATCTTTATCTTTCTGTCTCCTTTTCCCCTTCCTTTCTGTTTGCTTTTCTTTGTTTAGATCTGTCTCTCTATCACTCTATCTCTATCTCTGTCTCTATCTCTGTCTCTGTCTCCTTATCTATATCTATATCCATATCTATATCTACATCTATATCTATATATACATCTATATCTATATCTATATGTCTATATCTATATCTATATCTATACCTATACCTATATAACTATATATCTATATATATATATATATATCTGCCTATCTCTTTATCTTCATTTTAGGTGTCTCCCTCTGAAGACTTCCGCACTTGGCGCTCAGAGAAGGCTCAGTTTGGCCCCCTTACATCTGATTGGTATACTAATGTCCCTCAAGTACCCCCAAGGGCCCCAAGGGCCCCCCGTAAGCCTCGTGGGGGCCCCAGGGGGGCCCCCAGAGGGGCCCCCATAGGGGCCCCAAGAGGGGGCCCCATAGGGGCCCCCATAGGCCCGAATAATAATGGGGAGACCGATGGGGCCCCCTTAGGGGGCCCCATGGGAGATGATAAGAAGAATGATTTTGATAGCCAAGTTAATATAACTGAGGAGGGGCCCCCAAAGATAAATGAGGGGCTTACTGAATCTGAAGAAGTGCCTTCTGCTGCTTCTGCTGCAGCAGCAGCAGTATCAGCAGCACCTGCTGCTGCTGCTGAAGATGGTACCCCCTCTGTATCTAGCGTGGGTTGCGGGCCTGAGGGGGCCCCCTCAGGTACCTCTGAGGCGCGTGAGGGGGCCTCCATGGGGAGCCCCCTTGGGGGCCCCTTGGGGGGGGCCCCCTTGGGGCCCCCTATGCTGGTACCGGCGTACCCTCTGATGACTTGTTATAAATGCTTTCAGGTCGACTTCCCTTACTTCGGGATCGTCTCAGGGAGAATAGAAAGTTGGGTTGTGGCTGCAATGAGGCAGCAGCTGCTGCACTACCATCGCAGAGCCGTGCGGTGTATAGACAGGTGGTGAGGCATCTGCATGCATAGCATATAGCAGCAGCAGCAGCAGCAGCAGCAGGAATAGCAACAGCGAACGATGCAGCAAAGCACATACACACCAAGTACAAACACCCCAATGCACCCCGGAGAGAGGCTTCATAAGCATTTTAAGATCTCATTGCCCAGGGTTTAGGGTTTAGGGTTTAGGGTTTAGGGTTTGGGGCTCAGGTACGACCTGTCTCTAGAAGAAGTTCGTGCATTTGAAGAAGACGTCAGAGAGCAGCTGGCTGTTTTATCTTCTCTTTCACGCGACGCCTCGGGGGCCCCCCAACAGCAGGGGGCCCCCGCAGGGGCCCCCATGGGGGCCCCCGAGGGGGGCCCCTCTGGGGGCCCCTCCCCAGCTACTCCTGAGGAACAGGCAGCATCTGTCTCCTCTTCAGATTCTGAAGATAGCGTTGACGGGAGGCCCCTAGCAGGAGGTCGGGGGGCCCCTAAGGGGGCCCCCTCAAACATTGAAGCAGTTTTAAGTGACTCTGCGGTGTACACGGGCTTCCGGTTGCTGCCGCTGCAGCTGTCCCCACGCAGCGTTGCATTGCTGCAGCGGCTGCAGCAAAGCCTTGTCAAGGCGCCGCAGCCACAGCAGCAGCAGCAGCAGCAGCAGCAGCAGCAGCAGGGGAGGATATCTCGCGAGCCCTCAGGCATTTCCCAGTCTGCCCTCAAACGCGAGGGCCCCGTGAAGCATGGCTATCTAGAAAAGCTTGGTACACCTTGACTCTCCTGTTGCTGCTGCTGCTGTTGCTGCTGCTGCTGTTGCTGCTGCTGCTGCTTTTGGATTTCCTGCCTCAGGGTCTGCTGCTGCTGCTGCTGCTTATGCTGTGGCGTATGCTGTTGTTGTATTTGCTGCTGTTGCTGCTTCTGTGTACTCTGTTGCATGTGCTGTTACTTCTCCTGCTGCGTATGCTGTTGCGTGAACTGCTGCTTCTGCTTTCGCTGCTGCTGCTGCTGCTGCTGCTGCTGCAGGTGATGGACTGTGGAGCAGCCGCTGGCATCTGCGTTACTGTTTGCTGCGGGGCGGTCGGCTGCAGTACTTCGACGACCCCAGAGACCCAAGGGCAAAACAAATATTCAACTTGTCTGGCGCAAAGGTGCTGCTTATGCTGCTGCTGCTGCTGCTGCTGCTGCTTGCTGGGGCTGCTGCAGCTGCTGCTGCTTACGGTGCTCGGACTGCTGCTGTTGCTGCTGCTTACGGTGCTCGGAGTTCTGCTGTTGCTGCTGTTTACGCTGATGGGGCTGCTGCTGCTGCTTATGCTTCTGGGGCAGCTGCTGCTGCTTTTGCGTCTGGGGGTGCTGCTGTTGCTGCTGCTGCTGCTGCTCACGCTGCTGGGGCTGTTGCTGCTGCTGCTTTTTACGTTGCTGGGGCTGCTGTTGCTAGTGCTGCGCAGCGGTCGTTGCTAGTGCTGCTGTTCCTAGTGTTGCTGCTGCGGTTGATCATAATGCTGCTGCTAATGCTGCTGATGCTAATGCTGACGTGGCCGATGCTGTTGCTGCTAGCGCTGCTGCTTATGCTGCTGCTAGTGCTGCTGTTCCTGATGCTGCTGTTGCCACTGCTGATGCCAGTACTGCTGTCCCTGCTACTGCTAATGCCACCGTTGCTGCTGCTGCTGTGGTTGATGCTGCTGCTAATGCTTATGCTGTTGCTGCTAGTTCTAATGCTGCTGCTAGCGCTTCTGCTGATTCTGATGCTGCTGCTGTTGCTGCTTGGGGCGTTGCTGTGTTAGATTATTATTTATATAACGGGGCCTCCTGCTGAAGGAGGAAGAAAGCATCTCCCCCACCCGTAGACTGCAGGGTTTAGGGTTTAGGGTTTAGGGTTTAGGGTTTAGGGTTTGCGTTCAGGCGGGCTGGGCCCCTGAAGTTATCGAGAAGCCCTTTGCCTTCTACGTGGAGACCGCGTCTAAGAGGCGCATATTCCTCAGGTCTGAGGGTTTAGGGTTTAGGGTTTAGGGTTTATGATTTATGATTTAGGGTTTAGGGTTTAGGGTTTATGGTTTAGGGTTTAGGGTTTAGGGTTTACGATGTGGTTTGTCTCAGCGGCGGTAACGAGGAGGAGTCTCGGGCCTGGCTGTCGGCTGTGCGTGAAGCAGCAGCAGCGATGGACAGCAGCAGCAGCAACAGCAACAGCAGCAGCAGCTGCAGCAGCACTTGTTTAACTGACAGCTCTTCGGACCTTCAAGGCTATGCACGAGCTGCTTCTTATTCTTCTGTGGGGGCCCCTGGGGGCCCCCCTGATTCCTTAGGGGCCCCCCACCCCTCTTCCATGGGGGCCCCCCAAAGTGCACACATCAATGATAGTACCCAAAATATGCCAATAGGGGCCCCCGTGGGGGCCCCCCAGGGGGCCCCCCAGGGGGAGATCAGTAGTGGGAGTGTGTCTTGTTCGCATGAAGAGCCTCCAGTACCGACTCCTGCTGCTGCTGCTGCTGCTGCTGCTTCTGGGAGTGCTGATACTGCTGCTGCTGCTGCTGCTGCAGCTGCAGCAGCAGCAGCAACAACAGTTGCTGCAGGAGGGCACGCCAAGTATGCCAGGTATTGAGGGGCCCCCTTTCTGCACAAGTTGCTGTCTCTACACAGTTGAGGGGGTGCTTCTGTCTCCTTGAAATGAGCACATTCTGCTGCTGTTGCTGCTGCTGCGTTTGTTGCTGTTGCTGTTGTTGTTGCTGCTGCTGCTGCTGCAGAGACAGCAGCTCTCCAATGCTTGGTGCTACCGGCAACGTCGAGGCGGTAAGGAAGCACATGAATCCCTCTCTAACTGTCTCTTTTGCTGTCTCCTTTGCTGCCTCCTTTTTTGTCTCTTTTGCTGTCTCCTTTATGATATACCCCAGCTTGCAGCTCTGAGGGTTTTAAAGGGCCCTTTGCTGCTTCGCTGTCTCTGCTGCCTGGGCAGCAAACTGGGGCCCCCGAAGGAGACTGTAGGGGCCCCCAGAGGGGCCCCTGGGGGCCCCCCAAAGGGGCCCCCATACTGTTGTGACGGGTATACCTCATGCGCTTGCAAATCTGCTGCTGCTGCAGGCGGGGGACAAGACGCAGCAGCAGCTGGCGCAGTTGAAGGTGAGGGACGTCCTGTTGCTGCTGCTGTTGCTGCTGCTGTTATTGCTGCATCTGCTGCTGCTGCTGCTGCTGCTGCTGCTGCTTGTCCTTTTCCTCTCTTGCTCTGCAAATCGGAGGCATCCCAGCCAGCTAGCTGCTGTTGCTGCATCTGCTGGTGCTGCTGCACCTGCTGCTGTTGCTGCTGCTGCAGGGGCCCCTAAAGGAAGCTTTAAGAGGCCTAACGAGGCGATGCCGTCGCAGTTGCTGCTTCGTTGGTGAGGGTTTGGGGGCCCCCCATATGGCGCTGATGGGGGTTGCAAGACGCAAAGAGAAGGGGCCCCCAGTTGGGGGGCCCCTTCGAATGAGGGCCCCCATGGGGGCCCCAAAGAAAACCCTTTCCGATGTTCTTGAAGAGGAGACAGAAGAAGAATGCAGACAATCGCTGGCTTCTGAAGGTACGTTCTTACCTTTATAGGGTTTAGGGTCTAGGGTCTTAGGGATTAGGGTTTAGAATTTAGGGTTTAGGGTTTAGGGTTTTAGGGTTGAGGGTTTAGGGTTTTTGGGGTTTAGAATTCAGGGTTTAGGGTTTAAAGTTTGGGGTTTTAGGGTTTAGGGTTTAGGGTTTAGGGTTTAGTTTGTGTGTGTGTGCTTGCAGCCGCCGTAGTGGGGGCCCTTTCTCTATCTCTGCTGCTGCTGCTGCTCTCTGCTGCCTGCGTGGCGTGCTGCTGCAGCAGCCTCTTCTCTGCCTTCTTTATTCTGCTGCATATGCTCTTAATTATAATAAAATCTCTCACCTTGGGGGCCCCTGGGTTTGAGGGGGGCCCCCACGAGGGGGCCCCCTGGGGGCCCCTGCATAGGTTCTTGGGGGCCCCTTTCCTGCTGCTTGAAGCTTTCAAGAGCGGCGTTCCTGCTGCTGCTGGTGCAGTTGCAGCAGCAGCAGCAGCTGCTGCTGCTGCTGTGGTGCTGCTGTGGGGAGCCCTCTGGGTCTTAGCTCTGCTTCCCCGCCAGAGGGGCCCCCAGAGACAAGGGGGCCCCCAGGGGCCCCCCCCGCTGCTGAAGGCTGCATGCCTAGCAGAGGGGCCCCCTGGCTCCGTGCTGCTCTGCGGGATACACCCGGATGCCAACAGTGAGAATATATATATATATATATATAATATGCGTGTATCTATGATAAGTATATATATGTATGCATAATATATATATATATATATATATATATATATATATATTGTACATGTATATGTTCAAATAGATCTGATATGCTTACAAACATATATACACATATGCATATACATATATATATATATATATATATACGTCAATACATATATGTGTATGTAAAAAATATCAATACATATATATATAGTATATATATATAATATATCTATCTGTCTATATATATGTGTATATATAGATGTACAAGCATGTTTATGTATAGTCTTATGAACATGCATGCATATGCGTATGTATATACCTGTCAATATATATTATCCATATTATATATTTATATAATATATATATATATATATATATATATTATGTATGCAGATCTATATATATAATATATATATGTATATATTAATATAAGATATATATATGAGATATAGAAATATATATGTTTATATAAAATATATAATATATATATATATATATATACATCTAAAGGCTGTTCCCTGTTGGTGTTTGCGGTATTGTGTGAATCTGTTTGCTGCAGCAGCAGAGGGGGGCCCCCCTGACGCTTCGCTGTTGGCTGCTGGGGGCCCCTTCTTAATAGAGAACACGGAGGCCCTGAGGCCCCTGGAGCTGCTGCTGCAGGACCCTTCAGCTGTACCCTCTCTTTGCTGCTGGGCCTTTAAAAGAGGGGCCCCTAGACTGTGTGCTGCTGCTGCTAGGCTGGCGGCGCCCCTCATGCAGCGGTGGCAGCAGCAGCAGCAGCAGCAACAACAGCAACAACAGCAGCAGCAGCACCACCACCGTCATCGGCGGGCGTCGCCCTGGAGCTGCAGACCATTTGCTGCAGCTAAGCACTTGCTGCTGAAGGTGCTGCGGCTGCTGCAACAGCTGCAGCAGCCGCTGCTGCTGCTTCTCGGGTGGGGAGGGTATGCCCTATCTGGATGCCTGGGGGCCCTTCTATTGGCCTTGGGGGGCCCCCATTGGGGGCCCCTTCGCATGCGCCGTGTCTCCTGGTGTGTCTCTGCTGAAGGGGGTGGGTACCTGCTCTTCTCTCAACTGTCTCCTTTGCCTCTAGACAGTGAGGAGGGCTCAGGGGCCCCCCAAGGGGGCCCCCCGGGGCCCCCAGCAGCTACGACAATATCGGGGTGGCTTAGAAGGTGGCTCTGTACCCTGTTTAGAGCAGGGGCCCCTAATAGTTTGCTGCAAACCCTGGCAATAGGGGGCCCCCAAGGGGCCCCCCCCGATGTTAAGGGGTTTGAGGCCCTCTTCATTACTCCTCTACCCCACAGCCCAGACAACTACCTTATAAAGGGACACCATCAAATCAAACAGCTGCAGCTGCTGCTGCTGCAGCTGCAGCAGCAGCAGCAGCAGCAGCAGCAAGACGACTGGTGTCTGGCGTCTCTTCGATTCCAAGTGTCTCCTCTATTTGATTTTAAGGGCCCCCTCTCTGTCTCCTCTGGTGATGCTGCTGCTGCGGGGGCCCCCGGTTGCTGCAGCGCAGTCGAGGGTTTGCCGTCTATGCCTTCGTTGCATAAAGGGGGCCCTTTAGAGTCTGCTGTGGAGGGGGGCCCCCTCAATGGGGGGCCCCCTGTAGGGGGCCCTACTCTGGGGGGCCCCCCTGCATGCATCGTCAGCACGGAGGGGGGCCCCTGTCTTGTGGTGTGGGTTGGGTCTCTGCGGTGGGGGCCCCCGGGGGCCCCCCTTTGGTTGGAGGCCTTTCTTACACAGCAGAAGGCGCAGACAACTCTTAAGTGTCTCCTTAGCCAACTGGGGGCCCTCAGGGGCCTCTCTTCCGGCAGTACCCTCTACAACTTCGCCAAGGGGGCCCCCATGAGGGGCCCCCTTTATCCTGTAAGCTCAGTGCTCCCTATTCTCTCCTTTAGTGCAGCTATGCAGCACCACCTTCTAACAAGGGGGCCCTAGGGGCCCCTAGGGTCGCCCCTAGGGCCCTACATGAACATCAATAGAAGCCAACACCCATCTGAGGGGGGCTTCTGGGGCCCCCAGACGGGGGGCTTACGTCTTAGATTGGTGGGTGCGTTGTGTATGTACAGATAAGCTCAGAAGAAGGGACCCTGGGGGCCCCTCTTAGCGGCTTATACGCACCAAGGGGCCCCTGGGAGTATGAGGGGCCCCTCGCAGAGTTTTATAGAATTCAGGGGGCCCTTGGGGGCCCCCAGGCGAAGACGTTGGCACAGCAGCGGGGAAGGCAGCGTTATAAAGACATAATGAGCAGGTAGCAGCAGCAGCAACAACAGCAGCAACAGCAGCAACAGCAGCAGATGCAGCAGCAACAGCAGGAACAACAGCAGCAGCAGCAGGGAATGGGCTTGTGTTTCGCTAGCGCTGCTGCTGCTGCTGCTACCACTACTACTACTGCTGCTGCTACCACTACTACTACTGCTGCTGCTACTATTGTTGTTGTTGTTGCTGCTGCTGCTGCTGCTCTCAGGCCACTTCCGCTGGTAGGATGGAGGAGGGGGCCCCGGGGGGCCCTCATGCAAGAAGAGTCGGAGGTGCTGTATAAGCAGAGGGCCCTCCTGCTGCAGCTGCTGCAGCGGCAGCGCGCAGACATCCCCAGAGGTATATTATTAACCCCTAAACCCTAAACCTCTTCTTTGGGGCTCAGCGTCTAGCCTGCATCACCTAGGGTTTAGGGTTTAGGGTTTCCCCTGTAGCATTTAGGGTTTGCGGTTTATCATCAAGGGTTTAGGGTCTATGTTTCGGTGTTTAGGGTTTAGACTCTACGGTTTGGTGTATAGTAGAACCTAGGGTCTAGGGTTTAGGGTTTAGGGTTTAGGGTTTAGGGTTTAGGGTTTATTGCAGGCCTCCCGCTTCCTCCGAATCAGCTGCTGCCTATCGGTCTGCTGCGGCCCTCATCGGTGCTGCTGCTGCTGCCAGAGTGCATGGCTCAGGGGCCCCCCATTATACAGACAGCAGCTGAGGGGGGCCCCCTTGAGAGGTTTAAAGCAACCCTAGCATTCGCTCTCTCCATTCTGCACAGAGGTCTGCTGCTGTTGCTGCTGCTGCTGTTGCTGCTGCTGCTGCTGGTGTTCTTAACTCAGTGGCAGCTGCTGCTCCTACACCGCATTCTGAAGATTCAGTATTTCCCTCAAGGTCTAGGGTTTAGGGTTTAGGGTTTAGGGTTTAGGGCTTAGGGTTTGTGTGGCTTCAACAGGATGCTGGCAGGCTCCGCCTCTGGCTGCCCTCTTAGGGGAGACATTTCAGGGTCATTTGCAGGCGCCTCAGGGGCCCCCCAAGGGGGCCCCCCTAGGGGGCCCCCAAGGGGGCTGGCTGGTGTACGTGGAGCAGACGGGTGTGGGGCCCCCCAGTACCCTGTTTTGTCTTACAAGCCCGGGGGCCCTTCAACAAGTGTGGGGTCATCTTTCTTTTTCAGTGAAGTACCTGGTAAGAAGGGGCCCCTCTTTTTATTTTTTAGTTCTTTTAGTGAATCTGCATGCAGTCTCTTCGTAGCAAATCTTTATTGGGGCTGCTCTTATTATACCCCTTCAAGGGGCCCCCTCAGGGGGCCCCTTGAAAAGAGGGGGCCGCCCTGTTCCTAGGGGCCCCCTCAGGGGGCCCCCACTACTCTACTTGTGGTGCCCCCCTTGGGGGGCACCACAAGTAGTGAGGCCTTTAAAAAGGCCAAGTGGGGGCCCCCAGAAGGGAGTACCTTAAAGAGTGGGGCCCCCAGAAGGGGGCCCCTTAAAGAAGGGGGGGCCCCCCAAGTAGTGGACCCTTTAAGGAGGCCCCACCAAATGGGGGGCCCCATGGGGGGGCCCCTTAAAGTGGGGGGGGCCCGTAAGGGTACGTTTATTGTTGTATACGGGGGCCCCCTGTGTTTTGATTTTGTTTGTTTTGTTTGTTGTTTGTGTGGTGTTGCTGCTGCAGCAAAATGCATGCACAGTTATAGTTGAAGGCCGAGTGAATGTCTGTTTCTATAAAAAGGAGACTGTCTCCTTTTCTATACCTCAGCTGCATATTCAGGGCCTCTTATGGGGCCCCCGTGTCTTCTTCTGGGAGGGGCCCCTTATTGTTGAGGGCCCCCATATGCGCTGTACCCTCTCACTAGCAGGAGATACTCTAAAGGGGGCCCCTCAAGGGGGGCCCCCACGTGATGAAGTATTTGGGTTGGTGCTTCCTGGGGGCTCCCAGCAAGAAGGAGACAAAGAGAAAGGGGGCCCCCAGCAAGAAGGAGACAAGGAGACAGGGGGCCCCCAGCAAGAAGGAGACAATGAGACAGGGGGCCCCCAGCAAGAAGGAGACAAGGAGACAGGGGGCCCCCAGCAAGGAGGAGACAAAGAGACGGAGGGGCCCAAGGGGCCCCCAAAGCCTCTGGCTATTATAACGGGGTCTTATACAGATAGGCTCTACTGGAACGATGAGGAGTGAATCTGTCTATGCTGCTGCTGCTGCTGTTGCTGCTGCTGCTCCTGTGCTGCTGCTGCTGTGCTGCTTCTGTTGCTGCTGCTGCTGGTATGCTGCTTCTGCTGCTGCTGCTACTGTTGTTGCTGCTACTGCTGTCGCTGCTACTGCTGTTGTTGCTGCTGCTGTTGCTGCTGCTGCTGCAGGTTTGCTGCTGGCTCTGTTGTATTTAGTGTAGCGTTTATTAGTTTTGATGTGTCTGTTTATTGTCTTAGGATTTGGAGTGTCTATGCAGCTCCCACCTGGTGCCTGTACCCCGTACCCGAGGAGGAGGCCCTCCCTATCGACAGCAGGTTAGTTGTCTCTTGTGTCTCTTCACTGTCTCTTCTTTGTTTTTTGTCTCTTTGATTTCTTTCATCTCTGCTGTCTCTTTTGTCTGTCTCCTTTGTCTCTTTTGGCTGTCTCCTTTGTCTCTTCTGTCTCCTTTGTCTCCTTTGTTATCTGCGCAAGCGAGGGGCCCCCACCGCTACCTTCCAGGGGCCCCCAGCCTCCCTTGGGGTCCGCACGGGGGCCCCTGGGGGCCCCTCTTGTCTCTGCCTGCAGGTGTGATAGTGCGCTTGGTGCGTATGTGTGTCTACTCTGTCTTTGTGTGCTGCTGCTGCTTCAATTGCTGCTGTTGCTGCTGCTGCTGCTGCTGCTGCAGGTTTAGGGTGGATAGCCTGCTGCTGTCTTTGGGGGCTGAGGAGAGGGCCAATGCAGTTCGAATAAGACAACTAACCCAAGAAGCAGCAGACATGTGAGCAGCAACTGCTGCTGCTGCTGCTGCTGCAATTGCTGCTGCTGTTGCTGCTGTTGCTGTTGCAATTGGTGGTGCTGCTGCAGCAATTGTTGCTGCTGCTGCTGCTGCTCCGATTAACGCGGTGTCTCTTTATTGTGCCTATATATATATATATATCTTGTTGCTTCCCCGCTTTGTATTTCTTCTGTCTCCTTTTTTTGTGTCTCTGTCTCTTCTTTTTTGGATTTGTTTTGGTGCATCTGAACTGTCTCTTTGTCTGTCTCTTTTTTGTTTTTATTTTAACTATTTGTCTCTTCTTCTTCCTGGTGTCTCCTTCCTCTTCGTCTGTCTCTCCATCTGTCTCCTGCTGTCTCCTTTCGTCTTTGTCTCTTTTTGCTGCTCGCACTGCAGCGCCGCCCAGCAAACACCAAACCCCCATCGCTTCGAGGGGCCCCCCGAGCTCGCGGGGGGCCCCCCGCCCTGTTGACGCTTGAGGGCCCCAAAGGGGGCCCCCCAAGAGGGGCCCCTATAAAAAGGGACCCCAAGATGGGCCCCTAAGGAGGGTCCCCAAGAGGGGCCCCTAAAGAGGGCCCCCAAGAGGGGCCCCTAAAAAGGGCCCCCAAGAGGGGCCCCTAAAAGGGGGGGCCCCAAAAAGGGGCCCCCAAAGAGGGGCCCACAAGTGGGGCCCCTAGGGGCCCCCGACACGCCCAAGGGATCCTTCGGGGGCCCCCCGTAGGGGCCCCTCTGTCTCTGATCATACCTTAGTCATTCCTCTTGCGGATGGGGGACCCCCAAGGGCCTTATTAGAGGGGACCCCAAGGGCCCCTCTAAGGGGGCCTTCAAAGGCCCCTTTTGGGGGCCCCCAAGGGCCCCTTTAAGGGGGCCCCCAAGGGGCCTTTACGGGGGCCCCTAGGCAGTGAAGAAGCCACCAAAGATATTTCTAGCAAACCCAGGGTTGTAGTGATCCCCTGTGCAGTGTACGTACACCTCAATACAACAAGCAAGGATGCATGCACAGCAGCAGCAGCAGTAGCAGTAGCAGTAGCAGTAGGAGCAGCAGCAGCAGCAGGAAGACATAGGCAGAAACACCAACAACAACAGCAGCAGTAGCCAATCAGCAGCAGCAGCATCAGCAGCAAGAGCAGCATCAGCAGCACCAGTATGAGCGACGGCAGCAGGAGCAGCGGCTGCAGCAGGATCATCACCACCAACAGCACCAGCATCAGCACCAGCAGCATCAGCAGCAGCATCAGCAGCAGCTTTTACTTGGTATTGAGAGGTCTGGCCTTGTGCGGTATGCAACAATGCGGGGGGCCCCCACAGCATCTTCGGGAGGGGGCCCCTCTAGATGCCCCTTAGATAAACGCCAAGTCCCTCTGATAGGGTCAAAGGGGCCCTTATCTACATGCAGAAGAAATAAAATAAAATAAATAAAGGAGACAGAATAAATAAAATAAATAAAGGAGACAGAAGAAATAAAATTAATAAAATAAAATAAATAAAGGAGACAGAAGAAATAAAATCAATAAAATAAAGGCGGCAAAAGAGACAAAAGAAATAGAATAAATAAAAGAAATAAATTATTATTTATTATCATTATTATTATTTATTATTTATTCTTATTATAACTAACATAGGAGAGGCAAACCCTAAATAAGAAGGAGACAGGCAGCGAAGAGAGACATAATTTTGTTTTCTAGCACAACACAGCAGCACCATGCAACCGGATCTAGGGTTTAGGGTTTAGGGTTTAGGGTTTTAACTAACCCTTGTGCTTAGCAGCAATCATCCTAAGAAGGCCCTCCCTCTCGGGGGCCCTCAACTCCTCGACATGTGGGGCCAGGGCCCCCCTGCATATGCTATTATTCTTGCTGCACCATTGCTGCATACAAACACAAAAAGAAATATTCTGCTGTCTCCGTCTCTCCTCCCCTAAACAGACAAACATAACAGCTAAAGGGGGCCCCTGGGGGCCCCCTGAAGGGGCCCCTGGGGGCCTCCTGAAGGGGCCCCTGGGGGTCTCCTTGGGGGGATCCCCAGCAACAGCACAGCAGCAAGAGCAGCAACAGCAACAACATAGCAACACCAGCAGCAACAGCAACAACAACACCACCAACAGCAGCAGCAGCAAGCAAATAAATTGTCTCTAGAGAGTATAAAAGGGGGCCCCTAGGGGCCCTGGGGGCCCTCACTTTGCACTGCTTTTGCGAAGAAAACGAAGTCAAGGGCCCATAAACAACCCCACGAAAGGAGGGGCCTACGTTACCTGACGCCATACAAACAAACACCCACAGGGGCCCCTATCTAACCTCTAAGGGGGCCCCCTTATAGGGGCCCTCATCAAACGGCCCCTTACTTAAGGGCCCCGCTGAAGGGACCCCTTATAGGGGGCCCCCTAATGGGGCCCCGGAGTGGGGGCCCCCTAATGGGGCCCCGGGGTGGGGGCCCCCTAATGGGGCCCCATAGTGGGGGCTTCCTAAAGGGGCCCGTTTGAGGGGGCCCCCCTAAAAGTGCCTCGTAAAAGGGCCCCCCTAAGAGGCCCCCTTATAGGGGCCCTTCTAAAAGAACCCCTTATAGGGGCCCCCCTGAAGGGGCCCCTAATAGGGTCCCTTCTAAAAGAACCCCTTTGGGGGCCCCCAGCCCCTCCCTTAGAACCCCATAGATCTCTTTGGGGGTGCTCCCTTAGAGGGGCCCCCTAGCGGTGTTTTCTATGGGGGGCCCTTAAGGGGGCCCCCTATAGGGGCCCCCTAGAAGGCTGCATGCGGGGTTTAAAGGAGTTCAACTAAGGGCCCCCAATCAACAGGGGGCCCCTATTGGGGGCCCCCCTAACTAAGGTGTCTGTCAACATACCGGAAGGGGGAGAGCGAAGAGAATCAGAGGGGGCCCCTGTTGAACGGGGGCCCCTCTGAGGTCCGAGTGTTTTTTGGCTATCCATTGTGCTGCTGCTGCTACTGCTGCTGCTGCTGCTGCTGCTGCTGTTGCCGCTGCTGTTGTGTCGAGGTGACCCTAGGAGGAGACACCCTTGAGGTGACCCGTGCGGAGCAAACCCTAAACCCTAAACCCTAAACCCTAAACCCTAATTTTTTTGGAAATCCCTTACGTTTTTGAATTATGGATCTCTATGGGGTAGCGATGAGGCTCCAATATCTCCTAAACCCTAAACCCTAAACCCTAAACCCTAGGGGCCTCGTCGGGGGGCCCCCGGAGGTCCCTGAGGGCCCCAGCTGCTCGGTTTGGTTCTATTGAGTATGTTTGTTAAATGTGTTTAAAGGGTTTAGATAAATTAATTCAAAAAGATTTATAAAAATATATTTTTTTCTTTGTTTTCTGCTGCCTTCCTCTTTAGGGGGACGGCTAGGCGCTGCAGACCCCCAAGGGCCTCATGGCGTCGAGCAGGGTTTAGGGTTTAGGGTTTAGGGTTTAGAGTTTAGGGTTTAGGGCCTGAAAACAGAAGCGGGTCTTCCTACGTCTGCAGCTGATGTGACTTTATGGTTTAAGGTTTAGGGTTTAGGGTTTAGGGTTTAGGGTTTGGAGATTTGGGGTGTACATACACCTCAAGAATAGCGACAGGTAGAGGCCTCAGTTATATATTGAAAAAAAAGCAGAAAACGCTGAAAGGAAAAGGCTCTCTTAGTCTTGAAGAGGAGACAAAAGGAGACAGCTAAAAGGAGACACATAAAAGGAGACAGCTAAAAGGAGACACATAAAAGGAGACAGAAGAGGGGAGACAGATAAAAGAAGGGACAGATAAAAGGGGACAGATAAAAGGAGACAGATAAAAGGAGACAGATAAGAGGAGACAGATAAAAGGAGACAGATAAGAGGAGACAGATAAAAGGAGACAGATAAAAGGAGACAGATCAACGGGGACAAATAAAAGGAGACAAAAGAGAATGGGGGGCAGCCAGCAGGTGCGGGCCTTCTTAAGGGCTCGCCCTGTCTCTGTCTTTGCTAGCGATGTCTATACACTCGATTGCGATAGAAATACTGCAGGCGTAAAGTGTCTCTCTCGAGGAGACAGCTTATTAGTAAAGTTTCACGCTGTCTTTGTTAATGCATCGCAAGAAGCTGTTTATAAGTCTGCTCTCTCTTCTCTTGCTGAGGAAGCCTTAGAGGGGCTCAATGCAAGCGTTCTGGTGTACGGGCAGGTCAGTAAGTGTCTCCTTTTGTGTCTCCTTTTTCTGTCTCTTGTTGTGCTTTCTTCTTGTGTGTCTCCTTTATCTGTCTCTTCTTATGTGTCTCCTTTATC